TATATATATATATATATATATATATATATATATATATATATATATATATATATATATATAAATATATATATATGTATATGTATATAACTGTTATTTATATGTAACCTGCAAATATTACAGATTTATGAAATCTAAAACATGCGGGCAAAACGAGAAATTCTTGTCTTATTCTGGCTTCTTTCATCTTATTATTACCTGATAAAAAGAAGGAGATCGCATAAAAGATGGATTAATAGAAGATGGCATACAAGACCAATTAATAAATTAAGGCACCAATTTGGTCATTACAACACTCTTTTCCAGGAATTAAAAAAGGATGAGAGCATGTTCTTTAAATATGTAAGAATGTCTAATGCAAGTTTTGAAAAACTGCTACAACAATTGCAACCTCACCTCATAAAACGAAGTCATAGAGCATTGCCTCCAGATCAGAGATTACTAATCGGGTTAAGGTAATTTTGTGTAATACTTATTATATATTTTGCAATTTTAGAGCAGTCAAAATTAAACATAAAAGTTGTACATACGTTTATTTTATCATTTATGACATAATAATTTTTTACCTTCTGTTACAAAATCCTTTCGATCTGACTTGATCACTGAAAATTGAATATCGTGCCCTTATTTTTAGAAGAAGAAATAACTTATGTATTTTATGCATATCTCATAATTTTTCTATTGAAACAATTATTCTCTTTTTACTATTATAGGTTTCTTGGAACTGGAGACCAAACAACATCTATTGCTTTAGATTTTCGAGTAGGAGAATCTACAGTCAGAATGTTATATAAAGAAATATGCTCTATTATAATGAGAATTTTGCCGTCAATGTATCTCTCTCCACCAACAGAACAGCAATGGATCCATATTGCCAATAATTATTGGAAAAGATGGCATATGCCAAATTGTTTTGGAGCAATCGATAGCAAGCACATCATATTGAAATGTCCGCCTAATTCTGGAAGTTCTTATTATAATTACAAAAAACAACATAGTATAATATTAATGGCTGTGGCCGATTATAGATATAAGTTCACATTAGTTGATATAGGAGCTTACGGGGAAAATAGTGATGGAGGCATTTTTGTAGACTCTGAAATAGGAGAAAGATTGAGAAATAATAATCTTAACGTACCAAATGGTACGGCTGCATTGCCTGGCTGTGATATAGCAATACCTGGATTTTTCGTGGCAGACGATGCCTTCCAACTTTCAAATAGAATAATGAAGCCATATTCTGGCAAACAATTATCGGATAAACAAAAAATCTTTAATTACAGAATTTCAAGAGCTAGACAAACAATAGAAAGTGCTTTTGGAATATATAGTAATAAATGGAATATATTTCATAAAGCTTTATGTATGTTACCTGAAACAGCAGATATAGTAGTGGCAGCTTGTGTTTGTTTACACAATTTCATTATGACTGAAGAAGAAAACAATGGAGAAAAACTGTACAGTCTAGAATTCTTACACGATATTGATGGGAACATGTGCAGAAATACACACTGGTTTTCAAATGACACACATTCACAAACTTTAAATACTCGTGCAGGTTTGGTACAAAGAGACTTACTATGTGACTATTTCAGAACTTGTGCAGGTGAAGCGGGATGACAATATGATTTTATAAGAAGAGGTTTATATAAAGAATAAACATAATCAAGTTTAAACAATAAACATGTTATATTTATTATAAACGACAGAACTTGTGATTCCAACTTATGTTTACAATCTTCTTTAATATGTTGTAACTTAATAAAAACATGGTTTTGCTTATAACTTTATCGTCCAACTTTATTTGAACCTGAAATCGTTTATAAAAATTTTAATATGTCGCCTAATATGTAAATAAATATTTATTTATTGTTTATATATTAATAATTTAATAATAATAATTTTGGTTGATTATAATTTCCACTTACCCAACAGCATTTTTTTTTTACATAATTACTCAAGTGTGGCAGCCAAATGATGTAATAACTTTGCTATCAGTATTTCACGTGTGCAATGATGTTTCAATAAGGTACATCTGTATGAAATAGAAAAAGAATAATGGATTATATATATCTTTATTTGGAATAATACTTTACATTAAAAAAATGTCGCTAAACTCTACAGAATATTGCAATCGAGACCTTTACAGATAATCAATCTTTAATATAAAACAAAACATGCGAATATATTATATACTGAAAATATATACTATAAAGTATATTTGATAATGCATTGCAAAATAATACTTTTGTAATATTAAAAAGATTATATAACTATGAATAACATGACTTTTTCAACTCGTTGTTTTGTATAAAAAAATAACAAAATTAAATAACTTAATTAAAAGAAATTACTTTTATAACAACGAAGCTTTTAGCGATACAACTTAGTCATGTTTTGAACACACAATATTTAAGTTATAAAGTCTTTAAGACATTAAATTGAAAACATTTTTAATAAACGTATTAAACAATAAAAACATTTTAAAAAGACAATACAATATATCTTATTACGTTTTGCGTATTGGTGCAGTAAGGGCATCAATTATCAATTTTTTTCTTGCTGATTTTTCGGGTTCAGGGATATTTTCTAAATGTACGCGAATATAATCAGTGAATGACTGATCAATTGTTTTTACATTATCTGTAGTATTTTCTTTTGAACTCTCGAGAAGATTCAAAATTGCATTGCTGATGTTCGTGAATGTTTCATCAATATTTTTGGATTCATCAATTTTACGTTTTTTACGTCTGTTATAGTCTTGTTAAATGTTTTCCTTATCTTGAGATACATCTTGACATGCACTAATGTTTCTTTTTTGAGGCACTTTAATGATATCTGTTCAGAATCTGATTCATCAGTAGATTCGTTATTACTTTTCTTGTCATGAGTTATTGAGTTTACTGCTTCTGAATCTTTGATGATTTGAAGTATGTTCTTTTTCTTTTCAACGTTGGAAAACGTTCTGAAACAATAACAAAATATATGTAAACAATTCTCAACTTTTAAAGAATAAACATTTAAAACAGTTTTATAATGTAATAATGCTTACCTTCTTCTTTTAATAAAATTGTCAAGAAAAGACAGTTGGGAAAAAATGCAGATGTTTTGCGTTTTGAACAAGCACTTCCATTTTTGTAATCATTTTTAATATTGCGTTTTTCGCGGCTATATTGGTCCAGCAAAGAAGAACATCTTGTTTGACAATATTCAGGAGTGTAATGCTTACCTACAAAAATGTATAATATAATAACTATAATAAATATAATAACTTACACATAAAATGAAACATATAAAAGTATTTATCATATTACAATGATTATATTATTATCATAGTAAAAATGTAATTACCTAGGTTTTTCTGTTGCATGACAGTAGAAATTTCGAACCAAACATTTTTTTTTATTTGTTTATTTTTAAAATCCCGATGATTTTTATCGTACAAACATCTTCGTTCCCTGTATAATTCGATAAGATAATTGTCACCCACTTTTTCTTCAATAGCAACATTTACAGTTGAAGGCTCCATATCTTCAGTATATGCAATTGAATCATCTATATATGAATCAATTGAAGTGTAATCATGATCTTCCATTATCTGACAAAGTTTTAAGATTACTTAAAGCACGTAAAAGAAATTCTCTTTGATTCAATAAATCTTTCTGTAACCAAAAAGGATATTTCTAGTATTATTTTTATTTATTCGATATTTATCAATAGAAAAATATCGAATATACCATGAAAACATTAAATGAATTTAAAGAATCTTATTACTACACAATTATTATATAATTATTATATACAAATTATAAATAAATCAAATACTATTACTAATAATATATAAAATTATACATATATACACACTCATACATAAGATCATACATACAAACACACACACATATACATAACACCATACGTACATTTATATATATATATATATATATACAAAAAATTATTTAAAAGAATATATAGTTGTTGCATATGTGAAGACTGATTCTATTAATCCACAAAACATTTTAGGTTAGGTTTATTAATCGCTTGAAAACTATTTTATTACTTATTCACAATTCATGTCTAAACCATTAAAATATTTGAAAATAGTAATATATAATGTAAATATACCATTTACCATAAATGAAATAGAATCCTAAATATCAATAAAAGTAATCGATGTGATTACAAAGAGGGGAGTCAGAGGCAGTGCGATGGATACGACATACGTTTACGTCAATCCTTGTGCGTTGACTTCCGACACCGACTTACGTTTTCTCTGTCGGAAAAGTTTGCGACAATCTTTGTGCTCAGGCCCTAAGCCGGTGCACCGCGGCGTAAAGACAATCGTTAAATCGCGGTATCGTGAGTGAGCGGTATGCGAGTCGCAGTTTGTAAATAGCTTTTACCGAAGTCTATTGTAAAATAGTAACACATTAAAAGCCAGGAATAAATACTAGGAATCGTGTGGTATTCATTTCGTACGTCCGAGCCCTGAGCCTCCGTGCAACGATCTACTGGAGAGAGTATCCAAGTAGAACAACGTCATCTTTAAGTATTTCATCCTACTATACAAAATTAGATCAGGATAACTTTATTTTTATTTTTAAAAGTTAGATTTCTGTTTACTGAAAAGGTTATCTAATGTCCGCCCGGAAGATAACTTTTAATATCCAAAAAGATAATATCATTTAGGTATAAATTTACGAAATATTCAAAGATAACCAATAAATATCAATTTTTAGTTATCTAAATAGTAATCAATATACTAGCGTATAGTATGGATCAATTAACTGACATTTAATGGAGGTGAGATAGAATAACACCATTAGATATCGATAAGGTAGTTTTATGATCGTCAGAAAATCATAACAAAACTTGTATCGAAATATTATCTAAATACAACTTAAATACAACTTAAATTAGAAGTAAATTCTATACAAAAAGACAGCATTAAAAAGGTAGTCAATAATTTATTTGTACATATCACACAAAAATAAATAATATTCTCGTTTTTGATGTTAGAATTCAAAATAACTTTAAAAATACAAGTCTTACGCATTAAATAAAAATTTGCATATTAGTGAGATGAAATGTAATATATATTAAACTTATGGCAATTATTTTACAAATTATCGAAAATAAAATAAACGTTTGCACTATATTTTTACCGTTTTTAACATGTTTTATACTCAAGTATTCTTATAACTAATTAAAATTTCTTATAAATTTTATCTGACAAAAAAATATTTTGACTATTTAAACGACTCTAAACTTCCATTTTCAATACAGAAATATTCACTTATATATATATATATATATATATATATATATATATATATATATATATATATATATATATATA